TCTTGTAGTATTGTTACAACTCAAAATCCGATGCAAAATCGTTTTTTGAGTAGAACCATCCTTTCACTTCTTAATTCCATCTCTAACCATCTTGGTATGACTTTATCCGAAAATATCATTCTAGCTTCTTCAGTGCTTCACTGGCTGATTATCGACATGTTGAGCTAAACAATGTTCTTCTATAATAAATAGTTAATATTTATGGAAGGTATTGGTTGAGATAAAAAAAGTCAGTGTCGCGAGCGGGATTCGAACCCACGACCTTCGGCTAAATACGCCTCTGCTCTACCACTTGAGCTATCGTGACTTCGATCCGCTCGGACACTAACTTCCCATCTCAACCTTACCTCTCGAATTTGACCTCCTTTTTGCCATTTTTCAAATTCGTGCAATCTATTTGATTCTCCGCGTCAAATGAAATGGCCACGGAGAGCTTTCGTGAAAATATACTTCAGTTTAATTATTAAATCCATTGCAGTTCGTGGTTCGTTTGACCAATTAAATTTTTCAATAAATTAATATTTATGAAAAGTATCGGTTGAGATAAAAAAATCAGTGTCACGAGCGGGATTCGAACCCACGACCTTCGGCTAAATACGCCGCTACTCTACCATTTGAGCTATCGTGACACTGACTTTATTATCTCAACCAATACCTTCCATAAATATTAATTAATTGAAAAATGTTAATTGGTCAATCGGACCACGAACTGCAGTGGATTTAATAATAAATAGTGTTTAATTAATTGTTACTACACAATGGAATGGTAAAACATAAAATTATAACCATTCTACCAATATTAAAACTTCAAACGCTTTATTATACACGGCTTGAAATATTTTTAACTTGATCCAACCTAGGGCGTACTAATAGGAAACGTTATCGTACACAGATAAGCTTTAACCGTGAGAAAATGACATACAACGGCTCTATCACCAAACCGAGTGGATAATTGTTTACGACCAGAGCTATAATAAAGTCATCACTGCTTGTAGACATACTTCCGAGTTGTTGACCTTAGTCGACTTTGAGGGAGAGAATTGTTTGTACGCGAATTTACTTATTACAGATGTGAACTTTAAGAAAACAGCATTGTTCGGGGGTGGTTTGTGAAGTTTAAATAAATAATTTTAAGGTGTATATATACATTTTTTTAAACGAGGGTTCGCAACAGCAGAGGTTATATCAACCCTCGTGGTGCTGATATTTTGAAAAAAAAAAAAAGCCCATTTGTAAGTATGTCGGGTTCGAATGCAGGGCCGCTGGATTCGAACCCGGGACCTTTACAGCGATGAGCGCCGTGTCAAAGACTAAACCTTGCGGCCACCGACGCCCCCCATTTGATACTATTCTTATTCCTAAACCTTTTTCAATGGCCCTGGTCAGACATTTGATTGAATATGATAGTACCTGGGTCATTACATTATTAGAGGAAGGATACAACCAGCACGAAGTCACACAGAGACTGAGTGTAAATCACTCTACAATATGAAGGGTTCTTTGGCGGTTGTTGTGGCGTTGTGGCCACCGACGCTCCTATTTTAATAATTGTAATACTTTGTGCCTTCCTCAGTGCAATAATAGGTGTTGTGTTATTAGAGCTAACTCTTTATATATTCATAATTTTTAGATATTTAACTTCAAAATGAACATTTAGAATTAAGTATGCAATAATTTCGAAATTATCGTGATGATGATGATGATGATGATGAAAGGAGACTAAGCAGTGAGGGTTTATGTTCCCCAAGCACTGCAGCCTTCTGGCTTATTGTACTTTCCTAGTTTCTTGATTCAGTCTGTCGATTCGATTCTTCTTTAATTCCTTTTCCTGTCTTTTCTTTGAATCTTCGACATGATCGCGTTCGAAGATGATACGGGTGGCTGTTTCTTCCTCCCATTGCATAATATTCACATGGGCTCGTTATTCAATATGCCCATGTTGTGTAGATGCTTTCTCGTTGCAAGTGTCCGATAAATAGTCGTATCTTCCGAGTTTAGCCCTTTAGACCTGTTGCAGTAAGTTTGCCAGTTTTGGTGAGAGTTATTTTTGCATAAGTTTAATGTGTCTAGCGCCCCTAGAGTTTATCGACTTTTCCTTTTGTCTTTTTCCTTGTGTCTAGATTCATTCTGTGATGGAGGATTCTGTTTGATTTTGTTATGCCAAGAATAGGTTTGGGGCCTTGTATGGTTTTGCAGATCCTACTCTGGCCGGTGGGTATGCTTTTTCGTTACCCAAAATTCCTTTGTGTCTTAGTACCCAAAATACCACTTACTTATTACAGAAGTGAACTTTAAGAAAACAGCATTGTTTGGGGGTGGTTTGTGAAGTTTATAAATAATTTTAAGGTGTAATTGTAATACTTTGTACAACTCAGGTTGTTGAGTTCCCCAGGTTTTGGAGATTCTGGATGTTTTCACTTACTAGTTTTGATGTAATTTTTTTTACATATAAATGCTTTATTAGCAGCTTGGTTATCCCATCTTATGAGGATTTTTTGCCAGTGAATCGTCTTTTAAAATTTTCTAAGGGACGAGCATTGATAGCATGTATTTTAGCTTGAAAGCTTCCCTTATGTTTGATTGCTCATATTTGCTTGTTCGAAAAACGCCTGATTCCTTTATGTTTGTTTTTTTAGTCTTCTGTATATGGCTCATTGTACATGATTTTCTTCTCAATTCTTTTCCATAAGAGAATGTTGAAAAGAGGGTTTCCGGGATTTTGTAGTCAATCCTCATTTCAAAGAATGTGTATCTGTATTATTGATGTGTGCCGAAGGGTTTAGTTCCCATCCAGTTTGATTGATTCTGGATCTAACTGAGTTTTTCTTCGCTTCTCCTTGCATTAGTATTTCCAATGAGGCAGATTTAGAAGGGAAGAATGTATTTGATGGGGTTGTTTTCATTGCCTTTGACAATTACGGTACTTCAATTTTGTTAAATCTCTGAATTTTTGATCTAGTTTAATTTGGTTTACATTAAAGTATTTGCAATTAATATATCAACAAAGAAACTTAAATGTAGTTTGAAAGAAATAACAAAATAAGTCCGGTGACCGGTTTTTTCTTTTTTGTCGTCTTTGAGCGTATTATCACAAACGTCAAATAAAAGAATTTTCGCATATCTTTGGGCTCGTTGAAATCGTCCGAAAATAACTTCTGCGCTTTGTAAGTGTTTCTCGGTCCGTTTAACTCATATTAGCAAATAAGTGTATAAAATATTTCTCTTCAATTTTTGCCCTGTTAAACACGTCCTCATATCCTCATAAAATTAAGTCAGCCTTCCGCGTTGAGCGATGCAGGCACTCAGTGTTCATAAGGATTCCAGTCCAAGTTATCGGTAGAGCTTCCCACCGAAATAGTCCTGCTTATAATCAAATGAATAATTGCTGTATCGTGATATACGGATGCATGCACAAAAGCGTGGAGATAAAATCATTAAGGAGTTATAAAAGCTGACTTTTTCTCAGTCAGCAATTTAGTGAATCTATGACTCGTTTAAGAAATAAAACGAGATCTTTATCTATTTAATGGAAATCGTGCATGCATTTCGCTCATACGAATTCAGAAGATTTGTAGGATTTATTCACGAACATTTGCCACCTAAACTTTGCACTTTAAAATTGATGTAACGAGATGAGAGCAATCTCTTCAAATTGATTGTTTGGAAATCGTGAGATGCGGTCTGATGTGAAGTAGGTTTCAGAAAAACATTTTCTTTATCGTAACTACGTTTCTATCTTTATTAAGATCATCTTCAGGGCCTGGGATTTACAAACATTGTTTAAATTTAACAAATACATGTAGGATGTGGAAAAGAGTGAATTTATACGATGCAAAAAAAGATTTTTATATTCAATCAAAGAATTTCTTCTCTTGAGTGAGTACAAATACTTTGATCGAATATAATTTTTTTTTAAATGTATAAATTCACTTTTTTCCACATCCTACATGTATTTGTTAAATTTAAACAATGTTTGTAAATCCCAGGCCCTGAAGATGACCTCAATAAAGATCGAAACGTTGGCAGGATAAAGAAAATGTTTTTCTGAAACCTACGTCACATCAGACCGCATCTCACGATTTCCAAATAATCATAGACTAACGGTCACTAATCACCACACATTCTCTTCAAATATAAAATTAAAGAACGAAAATCTATCTTTGTCGAGTGAAATCCTGTAAAAGAAAATCTTACAAAAATAGGTGCCGATTTACACTTTGTGAGATTCTTGTCTGGTAATGATGAACCTGAAATATGGTCGTTACCGATCATTTTTGTCTTCCCATCCTCGCTGGGTTGGTTTATCCAACGATCTTGGTCGGCATTTTGCCATCTTCAGTCACCAACCCAGGGAAGATGGGAAGACTAAAATAATCGATAACGACTAAATTTATACGAATTATCGTTATTTTATTTTTTAATTGATTATACTTTTAATATAAGGCCTTGGTTAAGATGAAAAAGTAAGTGTCACAAGCGGGAATCGAACCCACGACATGCCTAGATAGACCAAGTCCTAACCTAAGGCCGTGGGTTCTAATCCCGCTTTTTACACTTGCATTTTTCATCTCAACTAAGACCTTATATTAAAAGTATAATTAGTTAAAATAATTAATACGGTCAATAATGACTACTAAACACATATATGAATTTATACTTTTTGTTTAAAAAAAGTATAGGCTTATATAGCTGAATAATACTAAATTTAATATACGATTTTCAAATTTTATTTATTCTTTGTTTCCCCGTGAATATATTTCTTTTCAGATACTGACTTATTATATTTTTATAAATTATTGCATAAAGTGAAGCAAAACCATCAAATGATGACGATGATGATCAACCAACAAAATATCATCGTGTATTTTCTCAAATCAAATTATTTGTAATTTCCATGTAAAACAATTACTGTTCGTTATAAAACAAGCATGACTTTTTATCTGATGGATTGCAACGTTTAATAATTATTAATTATATTAATTAAATTATATTTGTTTTAGAGAGCTGGTACTTCTGATGGTTGGAGCAGTGAGCAACTTGTCACAGACACTTTCATTGGTCAGAGTAAGTTATGATCAATTATTATTATTTTTGTTTTTAATAATGGCATATTACATTAGAAAAAGCTCTTTGTTATATTTAAATGCTTAAAGCATTTGTACGTTTGTGTTATAATAACCTCTTTCCACAAAAAATCTTATTTAATTTTATACATTTAAATTATTATTTAAAAATGTGATGTTGGTATTTTCCATGAAGTTAGGACCGAATCCCCGAGAAGTAATGAAGGTCATAGCCAAAGCAACCCTCAGCCACAGGTGGTAGAAATGTTTAACAATATATATATCTATCTTTATAATTACATTAATATATTTTTTTATTAGGAAGAAGAAGAACCCTCACTTATTAGTAAAAAACTTGCAAGTTTCCTTTCACTGGGAAAAGGAAGCGATTCAGAAGAACAAATTGCTGCGCTTCAGGAAGAGAATAGGACACTGAGACTTGACAATGTAAACTTTTTTACATAAATTGAATTTTGTTTGTTCTTGATTCTTATTTGAAATTGCAATTTGCAAGGAATCGAAAGCCCATGAAATTAGGACCTGTACAAGGATCATTCGTGAACTTGAGTCATTGGTCGCAGTGGGACAGGATGAAAATTCCAATCTTTCCACAGGAATGGAAGAATTGGACATTCAGCACCAACAAGCTATCGGTATGCAAAATCTTTTTGTTATTATCATTACAGATATGTAAACGGTTTTTCGGTTGCAGAGCAAGTCCTTTCAGTTAAAGAAGAAACGCACAAACAGTTGGAAGCATTGCAAAAAGCATACGCAGAGCTTGAAGAAAGTCATAGATCCCTATCTGAAGAAAAATCTGACAATAATCGGAATGAAGAAAATAACATTCATGCTGAAGAAATCACAAGACTACAGGAAGAAAACCGTCTTCTGCATACGGAGTTGGAGGAAGCGAAGAGAAAGGCCGATCAGAATGAAATTTTGATCCGGGAATTAGAAGAACGAGATAGGGAGCTGGAAGAGCTCGAAGGTGTCAACATGACTCTACGTAGTGACATTGACATTCTACGAGAAGCACATAATGACAGTGAAACAAACAGAAGCAGTCTTCCACCTATTCCTGAAAACAACGAGATTGAAGCCCTAGAGCACAGGATCGCTTCGCTTGAAATGGAAACCTCCATACTTAGGGAAGTCCGATCAAACCTAGAGACAGAAGTCAGCAACTCAAGCCTTCGCATCGAAGAACTGAACCAAAGATTGCAAATATCAGAAGGGACCAATCGCAACCAGGAAAACTTACAAATTGAGATTGAAAAGGCAAATGAAGTTCAATTGAAGCTTAAGAAAGAAGGAGAGCTTAAAAACAGGTAATTCAAAAAATCCATATTTGTTACACTTATGTTCAATAAAGTAGGTTTATTCCTGGGGGAGGGTAGTATTAAATAAAGTTGGGTATGATTTTTAAATTCATTATTTTTATTGAGTGAATGAGGAGGATGAAGTAAATTTATAGTAACTTGTGTCAAAATGAACAAAATTAAATTTGGAAAACATTTCATTTTCAGTAAAAGATGTGAATTTCAATGGCTTATTAAAGATTTAAAATGAAAATATTGATTAAATTTGTTGATTTAATTTACAGTTACATAAGAGATCTTGAAAATGAGCTTGAGAGAGCGAAAAAAGATAATGATGAATTGAAAAAATTGATTTCTGAAAAAGATAAAGACAAAGAGCTGTCATGGTATGAAAATCACAGTAAGGAGGAAAGCTTGCTGCAAGATAATGCCACTCTTAAGAAGAAACTTAGCCAGATGGAGTTGCAGGCAAAAGAAGTTGATAAAGAGCTGGAGAGGCTTCAGAAAGAGAATGAAGTCAAACAGAATAAGATGTGTGAGCTGATGTTCGAGATGAACTCTGTCTCTGAAGATTTGAAAAAGTCGTTAAAAAAAGAGTCAGACTTAAAACTGCAGATTAAGGAGTTGGAGTTGAAACTAGACTCGAGCAAAGACATTGAACAAGAGGTGACACAAGAGCGATCAAAGATGATTGAGTTGAATGAAGAGATGGTTAAACTTCAGAATGAAAATTCACGGCTTCAAGAAGAGCTCCACTCAAAAAGTTTAGAGATAACACTTTTGAAGGAATGTGCTGATGCTGAAAGATCAAATTTCACATCGGAAAAAGCTCTACTTTTAAAAGAAATAGAATCACACAAAAATGATGAACTGCATATCTTAAAAGAGATTCAAAACCAAAAAAGCATGGAATATAAGAAACAGCTTGAACTGAAAGAAGAAGAGCTCCATAAGTTGAAGATAAGCATTGAAGAAAGAGAGTTCAATTGGAATGAACAGTTAACATCCACAGTTAGTGACTTAGAGATGAAAATTGCCCAACGGGATGCTGAATTGCACAGATTGCAAAGAGTGGACCTTGATAGGAGCAATGTTGAAGAAAATATTAACTCAGAGTTAGAGGTGCTCAAACACTCTCTCGACATGACCAAACAAGAGTATGAAGCATTTAAACTGAAATCAAATAAGAAAGAAACGCTCATTAGAGAAGAACTAGCAAAGAAGTATGAGGAACATGAAAAAGAAATCGTTGAAAAGTTGGAGAAAAGGATAGAACAGCAAGATCAACAACTGGCAGCACTTCTGCAAAGTTACAATGATGTTAAATTCCAGTTTGAGTCACTTCAGGAAAAGCTTGGCACTGTCGAAAAAAATCTCAATGGTCAAATTAATGATAATAAGGAACTTTTGAAACAGATTCAAGTATGTATTAAAAAAATTATGATTATGTCAAATAAGAAAATTATTTTACATGTCTTAACATAAAGTCCAATCAATATATTTGTTTACATTTAAGATAAAGGAAGTTGTTGCTTCGGGACTTGCTAGTGAAATGGATCAAATAAAACTCACACTTAAACAAGAATGTAACAATGGTGAAAATTTAAAAAAACAAATAGCACAACTGACATCCCAAAAGACAGATATTGAAAACCAGTTAAAAGTAAGTTTAATATTTCTTAAGTTTCTTGTCAGGTGTATAAACTGAGATTTTACAGGAAAAGGAAGCTTTCTTGGAACAAATTAATGCAGCAAAGTCTAAAGAAATCACAACATTGAAACAAGAGGTAGAAAGCCTGAAAAACCAATTGGAGTACGCTACACAGCTGATGCATGTTGCAGAAAGACAGGAAGCAGAAGGACGAGGAGTGACTCCACCTCCACAGAAAGTAAATATTTTTTTATACTTTGGAATAGGTTACAAAGAGTCTAACCATTTGTCATATTGATACATTTTAAATATCTATTACATGTTCATAGAAATAACTTCATAAAAAAAAATTTTGTGTGTGAATTTCCCAATTTTTAATAATAATAAATGAGAGTTTGTCTGAGTGCATGTATTTATTAGCGTGAATGGCGAGAGGTGAGGGTGAAATATAACGTCATCATCGCCCCTCGAACGTTGAGAGCGTAAGAGTGTGTGTTTGGGGTCGATGGTGGAATCTTTATAAAAGTTCTCCATCGACCCCGATCTAGTTTAGTTTAAGTATAGGTCGGTGGAGGAATATCAAGTATTCCACCCAAACGGAATGAGTGTACTGTATTTATGTGTATGAATGTAGTGTTTGAAAGGGTAAATAGAATATAGACTTAGTTGGGGGCTGAAATGACCTAGATGTCGGAAGCCCCAGTCAAAAAAAAAATAAAATAAAAAATGAGACGGACGAGGTGGCGAAAGCCAGGACGTCCCACCCTCCAGGCAGGACCATTGCAATCAAGCACTCTGACGCTAAGCTTGTAGCAAAAAATGTGATTAAGAAAGATGGCAGCGTCACTGGGTGGGGTTGTCCAAGAGGCTCTTGTGAGGCAGAGAACCTGAGTTGGAGATGAGGACTGCCCTCACCCAATTGAGGATGGGCCATACGCTGACACATAGGAACCTGCTTTGGGGCCAAAACCTGTGCAAGTGCCCTTCATGCCAAGAAAGGTTGCTCGATGTGTCCCACATAATAGAGGTGTATCATGGCTCCATACATAGAGAGCATGTAGGCATGCCACCGGATTTAAGAATGGTTCTCGAGCACAGCAGTTGGTTTCTAGGTTCTTTGTTCCATTTTTTAGAGGATGTATGCTTTTTTTATTGTATGTATTTATATTGTGTTTTGTTTGAATGTATTTATTAGTGTGAGTGGTGAGGGATTATAGTGAAATATAGCATCACCATCACTCCTCCAGCAGTGTTTGTGTTTAGAGTTGATGTGTAACAACTGTTGATTTTGGATTGTAGTCTTGAAGGGGCAATAAATAGGCCGAAAGCTTCACTACAATTTTTGAGTTTTCTTTGATACTTATAAAACTCATATTTTTATTCATTATTTTATGTAAACATAAATTTAAAATAATAATTGTTGTACTAATAAAATGATTACCCTTTCATTCTTTTTTATTGAAATACATCCAATTTTTCCTTTGTAGAACACCTGCTCCTCTGAGTGCCAGGAAACACAGGAGGAATTGAATCAGATTACGACTGCATTGTTAAAGGAGCAAACAGAAAATAAACGCCTCTTGAATCAAGTGAATGAACTTAAGGACGCAAATACAAAAGTGAACACCCAGCTCTCCAGGCTTCAAACCCACTTGATGGAAATGGAAAATTATTATACATCCCTTGAGATTTCGTCCAGTAAAAAGATCGCCGAACTAGAAGCCAAGCAGGCGAAAGTAGATGACTGGGTCAAAAGTTCCTCTACTGCTTATACCTCGGCAAAGTAATTGAAACACAAACATATCTAAATATGTCTTTCAAATTGTGTTTGTATTGCAGTATTCGAGCTAATCAACAGGTGGAAGCGTTAACTAAGCAAGTCAAGCTTTTAACAGAGCACAAAGAGAAGATGGAAGCTGAACTATCACGAGCTGAAGATGATGCACAGAAGCAGCTAGCTGCAGTCACCAATCTCCAAGCAGTGCTGCACCAATTTCAACAGGGTAGGTGTATTAGCGTTAAATTATTAAATTTTTATGAAACACTTTGATATATTTTTTCAGATAAACAAAGGGACATTGACTTTGAAACAGATCGCATAAAACAAAAGCTCAATCTGGCGTATATGACAAATAATGAATTACTTGCTCAAATCAAGGATCTTCAGGTAACTTATAGCTTATTTTAAAATTTATATGTCCTACTTCTGTAAAATTTACTCTTTTCTTCTTTAAGTAATCAATTAATCCTTAGTGAAAATTATTTTTCAGATTTGGTAGGTAAAATTATAATTGAAATTTTAAAATTGGTCGGTTAAGATAAAAGCTGTCAGTTATATGTAATAGTGTTAGAATGGTAATATTTCGCTTTTAGGACCAACTCAGTGAAACAAAAAAAGGTCTTGTGGCGGCAACGAGGTTGAGCGAACAGCTGGATCAGAAAGAAGAACAAATTGGGACCCTTAAAAGCGAAGGTCAGTATTTCCATAAAAAGTAGTAGCTAAAATAGTAAATGGCATGTTTAATGCAACAGCATGAGATGACAGCATGGATCATCAAGCGACATGGTACACCATTTACAGTTTAAATAGCTTGATAGTTTTTGTCGTTTTGGTCGTCTTTTTAATTAAGAATGTCTTTGTTTTTTCTGTCCCAATTTAAAATTTCTAAACATTTTCTCTTGTGAGTTATAATAATGGGAAATATTTTGTAATGAATTGTTTGAAAATGAATTCTTGATAGCAACTTTTACAGAGGAAATTTAAACTGTATTGCAAAAGTTTGTGAGCAACTGTCTGCTTTATATGATGTTATGTTAAACATAATTTATTTACAATCATTAATTCTTGTGTTTGTACATTAAATGATAATAAATGGCACATTCTTAGCTGCTACAGTATACAGGTCCATGTCAAGTTAACAACATAAAAAAACTGAGTCTATCTTGTTTGACTATAACTTAACTGGCTGATCTAAATTGTGCTAAAACTGTTTCCGTCGAGGGAAATTGTTTGTTTCAATTATGCTACATTTACTTGTGAAACATTGTAAGTTATTTTTATCTCAAATCGCTGTTGGGTGGAACGTCAGAAATGTCACAGATGTTTGTCTTGCATGCCGACAGATAATTCATATAATCGTTCATTTTTTTAGTCGTTCAAATACAAATGCTGTTATTTTACTTCTGATTTATCTATCTGAAAAATCAATATAAACTGAATGCAGCTTGATAATGTTTGCTATGTGGAAGGATGTGCAATATTGGAGGTGAATGGATCTAATCTGGTTCAGATAACTGGCTACTGGATAAATATCATCTGGTAATTCTGGGTTTGCATGACCCTCCTGGCCCAGATTGCCGGTTGATATTATTCCATGAGCTGGCCTAACCAACTTTCTGCTTTACACTTAATGGATTTCCTTTAATATTTTTAATTGCTTAGATTAAAATAGTGAAATTTTAAATAGCTTGTAATTCATTTGTAAAATATTGTAACATTTTTTTATTGATTTTATTATTGTAATGAATTGATTTACTATCATTGGGTAGTCAATTTAAAATTTACTAACATAAAGGTTGTACGTTGAGATGGGGAGTTGGTGTCCAAGTGGATCGAAATCACACTAGCTTTTTCATCTCAACAAAGACCTTAGATAAAAAATATAATTAATTTAAATAATTAATACAGTCAATTAGGACTACCAAATACGTACATGGATAAATAAAATGTTTTATTAATTTTTTCAACATTCAAAAAAATTTTTTTTCCAAGTTACACATTTCCAATTATTTTAACATCAAAATTCAAAATGCTTATTAAAATCAAGTCAAAAGAATAATTTTAAAAAAAGCTATTTTTTAAAGTTTGAATCAAATCACAATATTGTTAAAATCGTTAGATGTCCTAACTGTCTATTAGCTGTTTTAAGTTTTTAACAATGAGGATGATTTTTTTTTTTTTTTATTTGAAAACGAGCCTAACTTAGACTGTTCACACTTTTAATGAATGATTGTGATGTACACTTATTAACTTATTGATCCATGAAACTATAAATACAATTTAAAATTAGTTTTCTCTCTTATTTATTCAAGTTTATGTATCATAGCATATCTCATTGCAAATAATTTTTAATATCTATATGAATAGCACATTTATGAGGCGCTTGTTTTGAATAAATTCCTAGTAGAAGCTTCAATCCGACACGATGGGAGGGGCAATAGAATCTCATGCGGTAACTGTGGAGTAATGTTTCTTATCTCAGACTATCACATGAGATTACACTGATCCTTCTAATTTACTGCTGGCTAAGATGTCTCACTGTTAATACAGAGCATAGTTTTAAATCTTTAAGTTATAAATTGTGCATGATTTTTTTTTGTTAATAGATGATTTATTTAAATATTATTAATCATATCCACCAGATATTTTCTCCATATTTATAATTTTAAAAAATAAGGGTTAATTAGCATGTTTGGAAATTAAAATTATATTCAAAGTACTAGTAAATCTTTAATTACCAGGTAACAAGAAAAGTTTAAAAGTTTGTACAGGTTTAAAGAGTTAAATTAAAATTAATTTAGAAAGATTTTATTTTTGGAAATAGACTCCATTCCTTTTTTAAAAATGTAGTTCCTACTCACAGTACGTTGTTTTCCAACAATCGGGATTTCAAGCCCCTTAACTCATCATCAGATTGAAGGATTTCTACAACCATGTCTCTTGACATGAATTAAAACATGAACGACATGAATAGAATCCTTCAACTTGATTGATGAGCTAAGGGGTTGAAATCCAGATCGTTGGAAAACAACTTACTGTGAGTAGGACCTATCTTTTTGAAAAGAGGATTGAACACTGCACTCACTCCATCATTCACCATTTCTATATAGTCTCCATTACCTTCTTTGACCTTCCACCCCATATACTAGCCTTCTTATACTAGTCCTGGGCCTTAATAAATAAATTCAGCTCATTTTCCAGCTTCTGGCGATTATCAGGCTCCTAATTGCACATATAATTGTACATTGCTTAGAAAAGGTGCAAGTTAGAGGGGGTAAGGCCTGGAGAGGGTGTGGTAGGACTTACATACCAAGCTTCATCATCACTTCATCTTTTTATTGTCAATTTATGAGGAACCCATTTACTCAGCTTCCACTTCTCTTTAAGTAAGCTAAAGCCAATGGTTTTCTATCACTTACATTGAACACTCTAACAAGCTCCTGACAGGTTTGACCCAAATCAAGTTCAATAGATTCCCTAAATTCGTCATCGTTCAAGACAGGTCTACCAGACTATGATTCATATTCACTCTCCTTATTCCCAGAAGCAAACTTTGTGAACTGCTTTTTGGCAGTGCCCTCACTTAACTGTTTCACAAATTTTATGATCTGCCTCCGCCACAGCACGAGCTTAAATTCATACCTTAACACACATGAATTATAGGTTTTGAAATCACGAGAAAGAAAAAATTTTATAATTTGCTGTGAATTTATGATATTTTTTCTTTATCAACTTATGCATTATCCTGTTGGTACTATGCGATTCTAATTCTTGTATGTAAATAAAAACGTTGATTAACAGTATTAAAAAATAAGTGAACAACTTCAAAACCTTTTCTAATTACCTGGAATTAGTTTTTTCTTGACTTGAATTTTATTTTTTTATCTAATTTTCCAGTATAAGACAATTCATTTGTTTGGTATTAGTTGTGACATCCATTGAGGAAAAAAATTACAACAATAATTAACCATGCTTAATTGCTTGAGGAAGTAAAAAAATTAGTGAATTTCCAATAACTAAGACTGTTTAATCTTCATAAAAAATTACTCTTTTATTAATAATTATTTTTCTGGTGGCAATGATTCTGTTTTTTAGCATGTAAGATAGAAATTTTGTATTTTTAATTTAGTTTTAAAACCATTAGAGAAACTATAGCAGTTTTGTTTAAATTATTTTATGATATTATTTTTTCATAGCATTTTTGTGCATTGTTTCTGCATATTTATTTTGTTATTGATTGATATTTATATTGTAACATCAAACTACCTTCCCTTATATCATAAAATCTACGTATTTAATTTTTATTCAATAAAAAAATACAAATTCACATTATCGCTTACAATTTAATAATACTTATAATAAATGGTAAGCTATTTTATTTTAAAGGTGAGAACAGTCATTAAGACAATAAATGGTTTAAATAAATCTTGAAATATTTAAATAATAGAATTTGTGCTCTAAACAATCATTATCAAGAATTCAAAAGTAAGTTGTTTACTTTTGTAAATGTAAATATTAAACTTATAAATTTTTTTTCTAATAACTACAATTTTATTTTGATGTTTCAATATTGGTTAATACCTCACTAATAATTTAATAGGAGTGTAGACTCTATATTCTGATATTATTTCATCTATATAGCATGAAAACTTCATCATGTACTTACGTTAACATTAATGACAGTTCCTTCCAATCTTTAGCCGTTACATAGCACAATGACCAATTTGGCAAATTAATTGCCTCAATTTGCATTTTTATTTTTATTGAAACATCTTTATTTTCGTTTAGTTTTTTAAATAAAGAAAAGCATGAATTCTATGCCGAGAATGTGCAATTTCAAGCCTGATATGTGCTGTTGAGAATTGTTCCCATTTCACCTGGGCCATTTGTGGTGTATGCTAAGTGTGAGTATTAAATCAGGTACTGGTTCATGAACAAAAACCGTACATGAATAATACTCACACGCAGCCCACCCTAATCACACATCTTCATCAACGCCATTTGCATCAGTACTCATTGTTGATACTGCATGAAAACAGTTGTTACAATAATGAAAAATAATACTTTTTTTTCTTTTTTCTATGTGTGCTTTTAACTTGATGTGTTTTTTCTACTCTTTTTTTTAGTGGCAGGTCTACAGAAAAAGCTTAATAGTGCTGAAGACAAGCTGAAAAATATCAATAGCACTTTTGAGGCAAAAATTGACAGGTAAGCCTAATAAAATTGCCTATTTGGGGCACCGGTCAAAACCAATTTTAATTTCATTGGGATTAAAATCGTGTACACTATGCTCCCAATCTTTGAGTTGTACCGTAATTCTTAACATCCTAATTTTATTAGAAATTGGTACCAAGGTGATAAATTTACCATGTATTCGGGAGATTGTAAGAACCACAAGAATTCATTAATAATCAAAAATAATGTTTGTGTGTGTGTGTGTGTGTGGGGTGCACGTGCGTGTGCGTGTGTGCACGCGCGAGTGCTTTATTATACATGATTTGTTCACAATTAATCACTTTTGTTATTCTGAAAAAAAAAAAAATTTTGCTCTCGTATTTTTTCTTTGCTTCACAGAAGAACATTGAATCATGGATGTGTCCACTAACCCGACCTAACCTAAATTTAAACCTCAATCTAACCCTAAATTAAACAAAATAATTTTCTTTTAATGTTGTTTACTAAATATGCATAGTGTAATCAATTGCTTACATATCCCATCTTTGTGTGTTAACATGTAAATCATGCATAAGAATTTAGGTATGAAGTTAACACTTTGATAACGTTAATTGTGCATTTTTTCAGAAACTTAATGAAAAACTTACTTGTCGGTTACATTAGCAGTGGGACACAATATAAAGAACAGGTATTAAGGGTGATATCACAAGTTTTAGAATTGAGTAAAGAGGAAAGGCAGAGAGTCGGTCTAGATTCAGAAGAAAACTCAAATGGTCCTCAACAGGTATAGAAAAAATGTTCGCTTTTAAAATAGTATAGTATATTTTGATATTGTATGATTTATTTTCAGTCTTTATCTGAGGCATTTATTAAATTCCTTGAGACTGAATCTCAGCCAAAGCCACAAATATTCCTTCCATTAAGCCAGCCACCCTCTGTAAGTTTTGACAAAATAAGTTCGAGAAAATAAGTGAGCTAAGTCTTATGTCTGTTTTCAGTTGAATCCAAGCAGAAAGTCTTCACAAAGCAGCCCTGCTGGTTCCATTCACCCTGAGGAAGCCCACCTCAATCTACCTCATTTTCCAGTTGGTCGGAATGCGGGTTCGATTCTTAAAGATGTACTCAAAGACAGAAACACATAATGACTGTGAATCTGCTCGAGTTTTAAATTGTCTTTTCCCGATTCGTGTAAATGTCTCATTTAAATAATATCTTGTAAATACTTGTTGAATTGTTAATTTTTAATGAATATATACATATATGTTATAATTAAACAAATATTAAATAAATACACAATATTTGTTTACCTCCGTCAATAAAATAATAACTTAATTTTGTACGCATTTCCTCACACCATTTTTTTTTTAAATTATAAACAGAACATCAGAATTGTACCATTACTACACACAGTAAGTATACATATGAACATAAAGAAACAGCAACACTTCTCCAAAGACAACAAAGTCCTTTCTTCTAGATACCTTTTGAATTAGATACATTTTGAAAGATCAGAAGCTCTTAAACACATGCTAAGGGAATGCAGAGCAACATTCCTCTGCAGGGACGTCGGTGGCCGCAAGGTTTAGCCGTTGACACGGCGCTCATCGCTGTAAGGTAAAGGTCCTGGGTTCGAATCCAGCGGCCCTGCATTCGAACCTGACATACTTACAAATGGGCTTTTTCAAAAACAACGGCACCCTGAGGGTTTAAACATTACTCTGCAGGATTGTAGTACAATACAACCTTAAAAGAAATAAGGTCACTGCAAGTGAAGGGGGTAAAAATTTGAGCGACCAAAATCTAAAATATCTAGCTCTAAACATGAGATGTATTCACATTTAGAAGCATAGATGGCCGCAATGGTTTAGGTGTTGACACAGCACTCATCACTGTAAGGTTCCCGGGTTGAATTCCACAGGTATTCAAACCTGACAGATAAATGGGCTTTTTTTTCAAAACCACTGGAACCCTATGGGTTCATATAACCTTGCAGTTGAACTCTTGTTTAAAAAATAATTAGAAATTTTTATTAAATAACAAAATATAATTTCCATAGGTGATAACCTAAATAAACTAAAAAACTAAATAAATTTAAAAAAAAATTATTCATTTGTGAAATACACAGGCAATGTTCACAATTAGCATCTTATTCTCAGTGGATTTGAGGAAAATACTAAATTCAACTAAAACTAAACAGCCTATCAACAATGATTTAATAAAACATTCATAATAAGAAGGATGACAACAACAAAAGAAAGTGCATTCTGATATGCGCTTGGGGTGATTCGAGACAAGAGGCTCTCCCTATCTTGCCTGTGCGGCCTCTCTGATCATGGTTTTGGATCAACATGACTGATTCTCAGGATACCTTCTTGCCGTGCTCTTTCTAAAGAGGTATACTGAGCTGGAGCTGAAAAAGAGTTTAAACAAAAAAGTATGTGCTGAAACCATACATAGAGTAATTTTATGAAAGTGTTGCAAGATAAAAAGAAAGAAATATTAGAGTAGCACAGCTTCTGCATTTGGAATCTGAGGCTAGTAGAAATGGAGTTGTTACTGGTCATGGATAAGTAAATTGTACAACTGCTGAATTAGAGGGTTGATTTTCACCTCCCCCCTAATCGCACCACTTGCCAATTTCTGCCAAGAATGGGTACTTCTTCTGGGGGGAGAACCCGTTTTACGAGCAGAACTATCATCTGCTACCTGGGCTATAAATATTTTTATTCCTGGGTAGGCTGTGTGTGTCGTATAAATTTAGGAAAAGCCCCAATATGGACCCATGAGGTATACCATTTTGATAGATCTTGATGTTCACACAGCAAGGTTTCACTTTACAGAAAACGAGTGGCTGGTTAAATGTCTGGATTATCATATAGAAACTGTCAGGAAGCTGTTTCTTTACTTTTAATAGTAGACCATGATGCCAGACATTATCGAATGCTTTATCATTGTCTAAGAAGACCCCCAGACAGACCTTTCTCCTTCCAGGGGTTTTATAGGAATGAAGAGCCTAGAAGTTAAATTGTGTGTCTGGGAGCTTTGAAGCAAGAAATGAAAAGATTTTTGTTAGCAGGAGTCTCTTGAATGTTTTAGATAATAGGTTGAGTAGAGATAATAGCTCAAGGGATTTTTTCTCACTTTATTGGGCTTTTTTTTATTGTTGCAATGTTAGGTTTAATCAAAGTATTTGTTTCTGTGTGACCTTGTGTGTGCATTTCTGTGTAGATGTGCCACTTGTGTCGTGTTGAGAGTGTTGGTGAGATATTAATGTTTTTATTTACAAATGTTCGATTTTGAAGGAGTGGGAAGGAAGTAGAGATAAAAATTTATTTTTCTGTGAGGAGTCGGCTTCTCTGAGGTGAACAACACGACACACGACAGTGACACTTCTAAGGGAGTCCACTGTTGCCCTCCACTCTCACATGATCTGGGACCCAGCAGAGTATTAAATGAAAAAGACAGTGTCACTAGCCGGATTCGAAGGTCATGGGTTTGAATCCCACTCATGACGCTGACTTTTTTTATCTCAACCAATATCTTACATAAAGATAATTTACAAAATTCAAACTGTCTACAGTGTTTAGCATTTCTTTTAATTTTGTTTATGTGAAAGAACGTACGCCAAGGTGTTGCATTCTGAATTCTGCTGATACTGGACATATAGCCAAAACTTAACCAAATCCTCTCTTGCTTCTAAGTGGGGTTCTAAGATAAACTAATTCACACCTCGTTTTAAATAGCCATCCCTCAAGTTAATCGACAGTTCATGAAAATAATTTACATTCGAAGTTCAGCTATTTTATAGAAGGTGAACCTACTTGATTCTCTAGCATTCGCCAAAGGCTCTTCCCGATGTACCATTTTCATATTTAGTATTATATTTGATAGTTGGCTCTTTCCAGAGAGATAAATCATTTAAGGGACTGAAGTCGCAACTGTATTTTTCAAAAAGATTCAACCAACTCTAAAACTAAAAGTTTTTTTTTTTTTTTTAACCACCTCAATAGTAAGAACTCTAGTAAGTCTGCAGGCTATAAGTCTGTCTAATCATTCTCAGCACATTCTAAAAATGGAGTTTCAACGTGAAAACCAAAAGAAGGTCTACATCGGTCTGTAGATAAAGCTTATAGTTCGGAGCAGTGGTCAGTAGAGAGAATAACTTTTTTATAAACAAAAGCAATAATTGCTCTAACTTATTATACTGAGCAAATCGCCAAACCTGAGCTACATAACAAGATTGATCTCGAATCCGCATTAAAAAGATTGAACTTGTGAGAAAGATGCTTGACTATACAGTATTAAGTGCCATTTTAGCACTGCACACTCTACTGAATGTGAATATTAAAGGAGAGGAGTCAGAATGACACCCAGGTATTTGAATGAATTTACCACTTCAATCACCTCACCGCCAAGCTCCCATTTTTCACTTGGTAATAGATAGTGTACTGCCTTTTCTAAAAATTAGAAGTTTGGATTTATTCAGATCCAGTTAGAACATTGAACAATTGATCACAGTAATCCTTAAGAATGGTAATATATTCTTGTAATTGAAGGGGTTTGTCACATGTGAATGTAATCAGCATACTTAGTATTTTAATAACATTATCAGAAACTTGTATTCCACCCACAAAACAATCAGATAAATCATTAAAAAAAATGAAAATAATAATGGCCTCAATATGCATCCTTCCCTAACACCGCTGATTATAGTTAAGGACTCAAAAATTCCATTTTGTCCTCTTATGGATGCCATCGTTTCTTTATAAATAGAAATGTGTAATATTTAGTGACCGTTTTATTACTTAGAGATTTTGAGATGCGGTTTGGTGTGATTAGGTTTAGAAAAACATTTTGTTTATCTACCAACATTTCGATTTTTATTGAGTTCATCTTCAGGGCTGTGATTTGTAAACATTGTTTAAATTATACAAATACATGTACGATATGACTATGAATTTACACAATGATGTACCCAATACAAATTTTTTAAGTTTAATCAAAGTATTTGTACTCCTCAAAGTGTGTGTTTCTATGTAGATGTGTCACTGTTGTGAGTTGTGTTGAAAATGTTAGTGTGATATTAATGTTTTTGCATATATTTTGAAGGAGTGGGGAAGGAAGTAGAGATAGAAATTCATTTTTCTGTGAGGAGTCGGCTTCTCTGAGGTGAACAACACGACACACAACAGTGTGTGGGGCATCCACTGTTGCCCTCCACTCCCTCTTGACCTGGGACCCAGCAGAGTATGACTTCGTTTCGCATACTTAATTATTGAGTTTAGTTTTGCAATTCAGCACCATCTTAGAGCCAATGAAGTTTGAACAGATGGCTGCTCATATGAGAGCTATATTCTTAATTTTGGAATTGTCGATCATGTTGAACTGGGTACATCTCTCACTTGCATGGAGTTCAACCTGTAAGATACTATTGTATCTTCCCATTTATATATTTCTCCCAACAATTGCACACAACATCAATAAGACACCACAAGAATAGCACCACACTTTATGCCCTGAAGATGATCTCAATAAAGGTCGGAACGTTGGAAAGATAAAGAAAATATTTTTTTAAACCTACATCACACCAGACCGCATCTCATGATCTATAAATAATAATTTATAAATAGATATTAGTACAGTAATGAATTTTGACGATATTACCAAATTAAGTAACTTTTAATATACACTGACAGGCAAAAAATGCTGCCCACTTGTAATATAACTTGATTTGTATGTATTTCTATATATTAACCAAAGTTTCAAGTTTTTTAAGGCTTAATAATTAAGTCTTTGTCTAAAAAAGTTAAAAAAAAGTAAATTTCTAAGGAAAAGGAAAAATAAAAAATTTAAAAATAAATTTAAAAAATATGGACAGATAAAATTTGTTTTAAATTTTGTTTTAGACTTTTAACTCACATTTCAATAAGCTGTATTTCCTCCTTTTGCCTTACTTACATCTAGAAGACGCCTCGGCATACTTTATACCAGACTGGAAATGTCTCTTAGCTGGAGGTTAGCCCATTCTTCACGAAGAGTCCTTTCAAGATCGTGGAGTGTATCAGGAAGTGATGGATGTGCTCTTATTCGTCTTTTGAGGTTATTCCATAAATGTTCGATGTGTTTCAAGTCAGAACGGACTGGCCAGGATAAGACCCTAAGTTATGCTATTGAAGGTTGTATTGTGTATGCTAGCGACATGAGGACTGGCATTAACCTGCATTAGAATAGGATTGTCGCTGGTTTCATTGAGGATAAGCAACGCATGATGTTCCAAAATTTCATTCACGTAACAAGTGGCCGTCAAACCCCCCACGAACAACAACCAACTCTGCGCGACTCTCCACCGAAATTCCCACCCACACCATCTCAGGGCTACGTTCAAAAGGTTGGTTCTGGAAAAAATTACAAGCTTCGTACCTTTCTTTTCGCCTTCTCCACTCTTTCACGCCCATCTGGAGATTGTAGAGCAAATCTTCATCTGTAAAAAGTCGTCCAAAGACTAACGGCTGTGCTCTCAAACAAAATGCGAGCCGTCTGTGTTCTGGTCAATTGTGGTCCTCTAACGGGGCGAACAGCCTTCAGTCCATACTGATTTAATCTTCTTCGAGCAGTGCGTTCAGAAATTTGGACACCTCCAACTTCCTGGAATCGCTTAGGCAACAGTAAGTTCCGAGAACCGGACCCAGTGATAAAAACGTCTAACAGCGTCTCGCAGTGTTTCGTAGGGAACTCAGATGGCAATAACCGTATACCTGGAACGTCCATCATCAATAAGTGCCGCACAATGCGCAACATCCTCAGGACCAATGGCATTTTTAAGTTGAAAAATTGAAATTAAGAAAACAAAAGTGAAAACGAAAACAATAAACATTTTAAATTCCGTAAAAATTAAACATTGAAAAATCCTTTGTCCTTGTTTTGGATTAAGGATTATGTGTGTTTACGTCTAATTGATATTCACATTTAAAACAGCGTAAACAAATATTTATTGATAAAAACAATGAGACAAATTAAGGGAAGAATTTTCTTTTATCAAGAAAATGAAACAAAAGCAGTTGGGTGGAACCTTTTGCCTGTCAGTGTACCGTGTTAAGATTAACCTCTCAAAAGCCGCTGAAAAGTAGAAAAAAACACTTTTTGATTTCTTTGTGACAGTAAAATTTACTTATCTTCAGTATTGTTGCACTAGTAACATATATGCATTTCAAGATGAAGAGAGGATAGTTTGTAAAAAACCATAATTAAAATAAAGAAAAAAAGAGGTGGATCTGCGAGTACGGGCTGTTTCCGGGCGTAGATGGTTTTTTCGAAGAAGCGCGGACAGCGGTAGATGCCTCGGTGGGTCGACTGCTGCGCCATCTTTCGGTGCTGGAGAAAAACTTTTCCCGTTATAGAGTTGTTGGAGGTTGGTGGCGATTCCGCAGCTCGGTGGTCGTCTCGCGTAAAATCAATAAACAACAATGGCGGCCAGTACGGCTGGAGTCTCGCTGTCACGGCATCGTCGAAACCGCCTCTGCCGGTAAATCTACATTTTGATCCCGCGTCACCTGGATTGGAGAAGGACCAGCCTTGGACCGAGGTCCGACCAGCTCCTCGAAGCCACTTCCAACCGTCTCCCCTTCTCCGAAATAGTAAGTCAAAGGCAAAATCACATTTTGACAACTGTCCTCCGGCGCCTCGGAGACACCGACAACCCCTCGCCAAAAGGGGGAGTCGCTCCTTATCAGGCTAGTTTTTATCACCGTCGCCTCCTCCGATCCGGTTCCAGGATCCCGTGAGAAAAAGACAAAAACGACACCCATCTCGCTGACGTATTTCAACAAAAGGGATCGATTACTAAGTTTTCTTCTTTATATTGTTTACCTAGGGGGGAAACATATTTTGTCATCTCCAAGGCGTTTGTTTACGCCCTCGCCGCCGGTCCACCCGCATTTCCAAAATTGACCGTTAAATACGACATTTTCAAAAGGTATCTTCCGAGTATCACCGCCCTCCGCCGTATCTCTTTCGCCCTCCTCGGTACAGAGTCGTCTTGCCCTATTCGACGACCCTCGCCCTCACTGGCGTAAAACTATTAAAATTGATAAATTGCTCTTGGACGGAATTTGAAAATACGACTGTCACTCGATCGAGCGATTATCGAAACGCGACAATTCGCGTGAAATTAATTTTTTGCCTTCCAACTCGCTTATAACGTCTGATTTACAGCATTATAACTCATCTTGTTATCGTATGCACTCCCGTCATCCTGCCCAGGTAAATCTTTACCCATATTTTACTCTTTTCCATTAGTTTCTTTCTTCCATATTTACTGATTTGTTGATGACCTTGACAATACAATAAAATCCATTAATAGGTTTTTAAAACTATAAATATGAAATTTGGGTAGGTAGAAAGATTTGGCTCATTTTTTTTCGTAGTAGTTTTTTTCGACGAATTTTGTTATCCGAACGGTAAAATTGAGTCGTATAAAAGAACGAAAAACCCCGATTATTCCCTGTTTTGAGCATTTATGTCAAATAAGTTATTTTATCATCCGTCGAATTTTTTACCAGTCCGATGACGAACTGTAACTTATCAGTACAACATGACTTAACATCGTTTATCGTACAATTAAGGAATGATGCAACATCGACGCTTTTCTATTGAAGTGATAAATTTATTATAATAAATGCGTTTTTAGTGTTGAAAATGTTGCAATGGATAGAGAGAAATCGTAGAACAATGCGGTTTCAGATGAACGCCATATGGAAGAGTTTGTACTATTGTTCGTTCAAAGGATCTCTTGAATCACTCACTCGAATCGACTCACAAAAGTCTCCTTTCACTCATGAAATATAAAATCAAAGAATTGTTTAAAACTAAAGCACAATCAGCTTTTCGTATTAATTTTTAATCAATTAGCTGTGACAATGAAAGTAACAAGGCAGCTAGAAATATCATATTTATTTAAAATATAAATGTTTAGTTAATTATTTCGAGTAGATACGAAAAAAAATTATGGATGCGCAAATGCGAGATGATACGCATGTTATAATTTAGGCCTTATCGACAAATGGAAACAAGTATATTAGACATGCTGTTAGTTCTAATTTTCCTCGATCACAAATTATTAATTAATATCTTGTTTTTAAGTTATGTTACATAAGATTTAATGTTAGGCTTCTTTCGTTTCAAATTCCATATTAGCCATTATTGTTTGGGTAAATTCAAAAAGCTTTTAGTTCCAGAAGATTTTCTTTGTGGAAGACGCCTTTCACTCACCTTGTGAGCATCATCAACCTTCGTTAAAACAAAACATGGAAATACCATGAAAACGAACTGTTCTTTTCAAACTGTCAACATTAGAACAGAGAATTTACCTAAAGATACAAATGTGCAAAAATTCTGCCAATTATACATTTTTCTAAATATTTTTCATTACCTTTAATCGCTTTGACAATGTTTTCTCTCTCTCTTTGTCCATCTCTCCCGTTGCTGTTTCTCTCACTCCAACATTATTTTGTCTGAATATTTTTAGCTCTTCCAACCATTATTTTCCCTAATTCTCATTGTTTCCTTAAAATTTTTTCTTACATTTTCATGTTTCTAGAAATGATGAATGATGGAGTGAGTGCAGTGTTCAATCCTTTTTTTTTATTTAAGATAGTTCCTACTCACGGTAAGTTGTTTTCCAACGATCCGGATTTCGAGCCCTTAGCTCATCATCAGGTTGAAGGATTTCTACAACCTGATGATGAGTTAAGGGCTCGAAATCCGCATCTTTGGAAAACAACTTACTGTGAATAGGAATTATCGTTAAAAAAAAATCATGTTTTTGTCGTCTTTACCTCACTTTCAAACACTCATAAGCATAATCTTTACTGTCTATTTATCTTTCTCCTCCTCCTCTCTCTCACATTAATTATTTCTGGTATTTTCCTTATTTGGTGTTTTTTAATAGGTCTTTTTTTTTCAGAAAAAGAGCACTTTAATATGTAATATTTACTCGTAAAAATTATAACAGTTTCTATATGATTTAATGTATATAATTCAGCTTTTTCTCTCTCTATGTTTTACTTTCTTCCCAATTTCATCTCACACCATTACCTTCTTTCATTTAATTTTATTTTCACTTTCAGTCTCTACATCTCTCTCTCTCTCTCTCTCTCTCTCTCTCTCTCTCTCTCTCTCTCTCTCTCTCTCTCTTTCGGTCATCGCAAAGAAGTGCATTCTTTAAAACAAATATTTTATAAATGTAATAAAGTTGTTTGTTTATAGACAATATTTTACAATTTGTACGTTTTTACGAATTCAGATTTTTAAAAATGTTTGTATAATTGTGGTTCAACATTTACACACAACGAGAAATGACAATTAGAAAAACAGTAACCTTATACATCTGTCTTTCAGCCGTAACAAAACAGCCTCTTTGGCTGAAATGCCTAAATTTTTTAAAACCTAAAATAATAACAGAAAGGTATAGCATGTGATTATAATGAGTATGCATATAATTACTTAATGTATAGTTACTACTAGTTAATATTTCAGTTTTTCTAAAATTGCTAGCTTTTTAAAAAGTTTTGGACCGTTTCGTCCTCAATTTCATTTAAACTGAACTTACCTAGAATCGCCTGGGAAGTAATGTTTACTTTGTATATTAAAGCTTCTACTACTATCCGGTCTTCACTATTTGCCAAACTATCGTCAGAAATCAAGGACAGTGAAAAGAACAGTTTCAGTCTTTGTGTTATTTCTATGTTCTGTTTTAACGAAGGTTGATGATGCTCACAAGGTGAGTGAAAGGCGCCTTTCATAAATAAATAAAATCTGCTGGAACTAAAAGCTTTTTGAATTTACCTAAACTATAACATATAGTGAGGTCCCATCGCAAAGAGGTGCAAACTTTAAAAGAAATTTTCCATATTTACGTTTCCAGAAGCCGGTCATTATCACGGTGAAACTGGAAGGATTAAAGCCCCTGAACCGAACGGCGACTTGCTGCATTATTCAGTTCAGGTGGACCCTTCGGAGTTCAGGTGACTCTGCCGTTAACAGTGAAAAGGATTCTCCACTATCCAATTGTCTATGCTTTGCACAGACGCTTCTCGATATTGGATCAATCTTGCTAAGTCTCTTCCGGAATGTGAAATGGGAAATCGATCTCCATTGGAAGAAACGTAAAATTTTCCACAGAAAAGTGGTTTTAATGTAGTTTAGATTAAAAAGTACGGTTGATCGAATTATTACAATAAATAACATCCACGTGCGTGATAGAACAGAAAGCAAACGGAAAAAAATCGACATTTTTGAAGTCGTTCCTGTTATTTTTCAATCACGTCGGAAAGGAAGTGAAAACTGTAGGATAACAATAGTTTTCCCGTAGATCCTATTGTTAAAATGTAAAATTTCATTTGTTCGCGTTTTCAAAGTTGTTGGCGACTTGAAGACATACTTCACTGGCTTTTTTCATAGGGTCCAATAAAAAAAAGAAAAAACCCGATAGTGTTTTTCAGAATAACGATCTATCTGCCTCCCCGTTTGGCTCGTTTATGCCAGCGGGTATCCTGTGGTCAGGACATGGAGGTTTTTCATCCGATAATGGTTCAAAATAAAGCAGTAGTACGGTCAACTTAAAGTTGATGGCAAGTTGCCCAGTTGTACGATCCCGAGCCGTACACCAGATACCTTGTCTTTCGCCCTTGTCACTGTCGGATGCCAGAGAACGGTTTTTGTCGTCCAACTTACTATTAGTCCGTATTCCGATTTTGGCCTAAAAGCCAATAAGAAAAGTGGATTTTGTGAATACCACTTATGTAACAGGAATGTGTTATTAAGAAGGCAAAGTGAGAAGCTACAATTACAAACTTAACGTTTTTGCAGTTCGTTCGATTCCGATCATATTGCCTATGTTCGTTTTTTGTTCTCTCAGACTCGTTTCGACTCTCGCCATCTTCAGTAGTGCGCCTAAACTGAACATATGTCTTAGCCAAACTAAAATGAACGAACAGGTTCATCACCCCGTTGCCCCAAGAGGAAATGTCTCAATTAATTATGTTTGAATTAAAAGTCAAAAACTGATTGTTTGTTTAAATTAATTACAGTTCCTCTTGAAAAATTGCATAAAAATCTTAGTATTAACGAAAGATAAATTATTTAAAGTGTTTATATACAAAATTTATAGTCATAAAAAAAATTGCATCTGAGTTTTTCTTATTTCAGCTATTGACTTACATTAGATCATTAAACTTTTTATAGTTTAGATTTTAAGGTCGTGAATTAAGAATAAAAATCGACACTAAGAATGCTTATTTGAAATAAAACACCCGAGGTGTTAGGGAAGAGGAATGAAGAAAGAGAAACTGTTTTATAGGCGGATTTTTCAACGGGTTTCATTCCAAGAAAATTATCCCCTACAAAAACAAGTCCACTAATCGTTGTAAGACGTGGCTAAGATGGGATTAACTTAATTTATATACAAATAATCTATCCATGTAGTTGAGATTCGGAGATCATTGTCGTTCAGTTTACCTAGTGAGTTTTATAACGCATTAGTGTTATGTTTGTGCATATTATTCGTTATGTCGAATTGTATATTAGATTGTTTATATTTTTATGTGGCTTTAACACGATTTTACTGCGTTCTCATTTG